AATTTAGATCACTCATTGTGCCACAATTGGCATTTTAATTTTAGCAATTATTTTCGAATTTTATCATTCCACAAATATTTTTTGCTCCTGAGATTATAATACTTGTTTGTTAACTAATTCAGAGTATAATCCATGTTGAGCAATTAACTCAAAATGAGTTCCTGTCTCAACAATTTTACCTTTATTTACAACTAAAATCATATCTGCATTTTGAATTGTTGATAATCTGTGAGCGATTATAATTGTTGTAAATTTTTTACTTGCTCTATCAATTGCTTCGTGAACCAATTTTTCGGATTCGGAATCCAAAGCAGAAGTTGCCTCATCAAGAAGCAAAAGTTTAGGATTTCGAATTAAAGAACAAGCAATTGCAATTCGCTAAGTAATTATATGGTTTATATGATTTATATTAAATTTTGATCAAACAATAATATTTTGAGAAAAAATAATAAAAATAAAAATAAAAAATACCTGTTTTTGTCCTCCACTTAATTGGGTGCCTTTATGACCAACGGGTGTGTCATATCCTTGAGGTAAGCTTTCAATAAAGTCATGAATATTTGCAATTTTTGCTGCTGCTTCAATTTCTTCTCGAGTACAAATATCTTTTCCATATGCAATGTTGTCTCTAATCGAAACATTAAATAGTAATGGCTCTTGTTCAACAAAGGATAATTTACTTCTAAGATATTCCAAATTCCAATTTTTGACGTTCACATTTTCTAAATTAACATTTCCAGATATAGTATCATAATAGCGTAATAATAAAGAAATAACAGTACTTTTTCCTGAGCCAGAAGGTCCAACGAGAGCAATTGGGGTTACCCGATTCAATTAAAAGGTTCAAACCACGTAAAACCTTTACTTTTGGACGAGCAGGATAGTTGAAATAAACATAGTGAAATTCGGAATGACCAGTCACAGAGGAAAATATAAAAGCAGTTCAGACAACAATCTGTAACATGCCAATTGACAGAAATCCTTTTTCTCTATACTCTATTCTAATAGGTGTTAAATCATTGATCATTTTAATACCAGAAGCTGAAAGATCTTGAATTGCAATATTAATTGCTTTGTTTCGCAATTCTATATATATTGATACAAATTTAAAATTGAGTTCATTAGTAATTTTCCAATCGGTGTAAAAGTAATATCATTTGGAGGAAAATTATCTAGATCACTAGTGGCAAGAAAAGTTTCAAAACTATTTGGATCGTTTTTAGGAATACCAAAAAAGTCATCAATAAATTTTAGAACATTATTGTCCTGAAAGATTACATCATTTTCCATGCCATGCCATATCCTTGAGATGCAAGAGTTAAATATAATGAAACAGGTGGAAGGAAATTCCCATCAAGTTAATTATCAGTATTTTTTATATTTGTTAGCTTCATACCAACATGAAATGTTTGAATCAAAGAAAAAGTCCCATCATTATTTATAACATAATGGCCACAATTATTATAAGGATCATATCTTTACCAAAATATAATTTAAATGGAGGCAGGGAAGTTGTATAACCTTGAATATAATAATTCAAGATATTACCATAAACATAAGGATATCTATCCCCAACATCAACTTTTGCATAAGCACTATAAGTATGTTCAGGATTCCAATCAAGTTCGAATGTCAAAGTGAACCAGGAATGGATAGCAGGAACAAAAGGTAAGAGAAAAATTATTTTAAGATATATTTTAAATGTTAAAAGTCATTTATAATCTAGTAATTTCAAGCAATTCAATGTGGTAATTATAAAGAAAGCAGACTGAAAAAAATGGTTTATATATATTTAAAGGTTATTATTTGAAACCAAAAAGAAGTTTAAATCAAACCATTGTGTTTTATGATGTTAATGGAGAAAAGGGACTTTCATAAGATAGTTCTTACGATATTCTTATTCCGGAACAAGATTATGGTTCTTAAATAGATCTCTTTTTGTTTATCGCAAATCATGAATTCTTAATTTTCTTCACCAAAATATTTGATTATAATACATTTATTCAAATCGACATGATATCACACAAATTGTTGAGATAAATTCAAATATCAAAATAAATTCATATGTATACAAAGTTACATGAATCTTTGAAATAAAGGTTTTGAAATTGATCATACCATATTTGTGTCGTATAATAATAAAACGTCAACAGATCTGGTAACCAGGATTTTCGTAGCCATCATATGAAAATATCATATTTTTAGAATAGGATAAGAAAAATATCTCAACACATTTCGAGATTAATTTTTAAAAGTTGAGCAAATCTATTTGTCACCAGTGGTGATTGTCACCACTGGGCAAAATTACATAATTCCCTAAATTGTTAATTTTGCCCAACGGTGACTATCATCAGCAGTGACAAGTATACTTTTTTTTTTAAATAAAAGATAATTAAAAAAATTTATTTTTTTTTATGGTTCGTCCAAAACAGCATTGTCGAAATATCATTAAAAAAAGAAAGAAAAAAAAATCTTTTGAATTTATCAACAAACTTGTTTTTTTTAGATCAAAAAAATTGAATATTAATTACCATATATCGCGGGCCATAGTACCCCGGATATATTAGAAACTGCACCTCATGTTACAAAATTTCATCCTGGTAAACCACCTAAATATCCAAGTTTAAAAGAAATTTATTTTTATGGATAAGTGAAAAACAATTGATACTAAAGCAGTTTCTTTATCTAGAAGTACCGAATTTTTAACAAATAATCATGAAATCCTTAAATTTAAATTTTCAAATAAATGGCTTGATGCTTTTTTGAACAGATACAACCTCAGCGAACAACAATTGCACAACATTTGGCATCTGATTTAATTGAAAAAAAGAATATTCTTTTAATTTATGTTTTGTATAGGATAATTCAATATGATTATCCATAAAATTTATTGGTAATATGGACGAAACACCAATGGCAGCTCAAAAAATTGAATGGAATGAAAAATTAAATAGTATTTGGAATAAGACATATTGTTCTCTAGATATCACTATTCATAAAATAATTATTGAGCAAGAAGAATATCGAAAAAATATTATTAAAAATTATTCATCCCTCACCAAAAATGAAAAGAGTTTTTATTTAATGAATTGCTGAGTGTATATGATGCAATAATAATTGAGAATAATTCTGCAGAAAAACAACGACGTAACAATTGTTTAAATTGGCATCAAATAATCGAATACTGTGAATTTTGTATCGCCAATATTTAAAAAAATAATTTTGGAAATTGGACGTCTTGAAATAATGAAATTGACAAATTAATTTAAGAATCTCAGCAAAAAACTATTGCACCTTATTGCGTAATTAAATGGATTGAATATGAAAAATTTGAGAATATAGAACATCTGACAGAAGGAGGATGTGCTACCATTTATATAGCAATTTGGAAAGATGGAAGTTATGATGAATGGAATTTTAAAAGCCAAAGATTTGGAAGTCAAAGATTGTTTTGAAAAGATTGAATAGCTCAAATAATAATAATGTACAATTGTTTCAAGAAGTAAGTTAAATAAATAATATTATTACATTTGTTTAATATTTTAAATATTAATTATATAATTTTTTAAAAATTGATAGGTGACATTAAGTTCACACTTGATAATACTTCTACATATCTTGCTTTATGTTTTGGACTAACCAAAGATCCAAACACCCAAGAAAATATATGTTAGTTTTATATTATTATCAAAATGATTTAAGACATTTTTTAAAAGATAACTTTCACTCACTCACATTGTTACAAATAAATGATATTATTCCGATATAGAATTAAGTTTAGAAAAAATTCATAACCGAAGTATATTACATAGAGATTTACACTTAGAAAATATTCTAAGTTCAGTAAAAATTATTACCTGGTATATTAGTGATTTGGGATCGAGTGGGCCAGTTAACAAACTACCAACTAGTATTTATAGGAATCTCCTATACATTGCTCCCAGAGTTCTCTGTGGTGAAATTTATACAAAAAAATTGGATAAAAAAGTATGGACATATTAATGTGAGAAGTAACTCCATTTGATGATTGTGAACATGATTTGGAATTAACTCTTGATATAGTCAAAGGAAGTCAACCAAAGATTTATGAATATACACCACATGAATATGCGACATTAATGAAACAATGTTGGATACTAACCCTGATAATAGACCTGAGGTAATTACAATTTGGAGATCAATAAAATCACTAATAAATTTATTATGCAATGAAATGGATAAACAACAAGAAAATATTCAATATTATAAATTAAAATCAAAAATCAACAACATTACAGTCAAACATAGAAATTCTACTGATGGTAAATATATTTTAATATTGACTCCTTTTTTTATTCATTTTATTTTTATTGATTTTACTATAATCGTTGCTTTTTTTTTTTCATAGAAGTACAACTAGATAAGTTGACTCGAATTTTTTGTTATTTTAATCTCTATTTTAATTCATATTAAATATAATATGAATGTTTATACATTTAACACTTGATTCTAAACAAATTTATTTTGAAATTTCTGAAGGTAAATTATTTTATATATATATATTTTTTTTGATGATACTTATTGTGAATTTCTAGAAATGTACAACAATATCATAAAAGTATTGGGGCTGCTAATTCAAGTAAATTACGTGGTAATTAATATGATTCCATTATTATATTTTTATTTCTAATTTTATTTTTTAAATAAAGTTTAGATAATCATGAAATTGGAATTTCTGGTCCTTCAAATTCAAGGGCACAGTTTCATAACTAAATCTTTTTATCTTTGTTTTGTTTATTTTATTATATAATTTTTTTAACATCCAATTATTCATTAAAATTAAATTTAATATTTTTATCCATCTTTTTTTTTATAATAAACTTCGAGTACGAAAATATCCAAAATTTATACACTTCAAGTATCTTATTTTAGCAATACTTAAAGCCAAATTTTTTTAAAAAAAAATTTTGAGCACAGGACCATTATAAATTTTTTTTAATTAAATCAAGTCATAAATACAGGCTCCTCCAACCTAAACCCTTTGATACTATACAGTAATAAAAAAAATATGCTAAATTTTACTTTATTTCTAATTCCAATTAATAAATAAATAAAAAATAAAAATAAATTAAATACCAATTAAACTAAAAAGTAGTTAATTTTTTTAATTTTATCTAGACCGTTGAAATAGCTGATCTTTTTTTGACTTACCATAATATAAACTATTACTTAAATCATACGAGACAAAAGTTCTATTAGTATTTATTTCAAATTATAGGAAACTGAGTTTAAAGAACCTTGAAATTCGTGATGACAACTAATGTTTATTTCATGTAAGAGAGTAAGAAAAAAATGTTAAGTGAAAATTGAATAATGAATGAAAATGAATCCTTAATAAAACAAAATTTTTGAAATTTTATTCAAGCAAAAGTAGTTTTATATTGACAATTTGGAAAAATTTATTCATTTTCATACAAAGATAATTTTATAAACAATAAAATTAATAACTATTATTATTGTAATTTTAATTTATTCAAACAATTCTCTATTTTTTTTTTATTTTTTTTATATTTGTATTAAGAGAATAAAAAAAATTAAAAAAATTAATATTTGTCATTAAATTCAACAAAATTAATTATTATAAACAATTACAACAGCTTTGTGCTTGATTTTTAATGATCTGTGGGATTTTCTCTATCGTAATCACCATTTTACAAAGATACAAAGAATAATCCATTTTGGAGCGAAGCTCCATTCGTTTTTTTTATTGTTCGCTTGTATCCTGTTTAAAAAAAAAAGAGGCATGTTTTTCTTGATTAATAATTGAATAATAATAAAATAATAACGTTCTCAAATGACAAATTCACATTGTATATTGTATGAAGAATGGATTCCAGAATTGTGATTAAATTGAAAATTCGGCATTGTATTAATATTATATTTTTTTAAAAAAAATTTCAAATTTATTGTCAAGAAAAGTAGATAAATATTTTCTTGACTCTTTGAGAACAAAATAATTAAAAAAAAATTCTTTCTGTTAAAAAATTATCTTTGAATTTTTACAATTGACAAGAAGACATACTGCGAAATTACATCAAAAATTATAACAAGGACCCAACAATCTCAAAAATATAAATTATAACAATACTACAACTACAATAGCAGCCTTAAAAAAACGATCAAAAAGTGGGTGTGAGAGGTCCAAGAAACATATAAACAACCAACAACGACAAAAAATATTTCAAAAAGATAGCATGGAAAGTCGAAGAAACTCGTCAATAATTAACAATAGTATTAACAAGAACTTTAAC